GCCAGTTTGGAAAACTTCCTCCTGGCCGTGATGGCCTATGAGCACTTTGTGGCCCATCTGTCACCCCCTGCACTACACAGTCATCATGAACCCCCAGCTCTGCATGTTGTTGGTTGTGGTGTCCTGGATCCTGAGTGTCCTGCATGCCCTGTTACAAAGCTTAATGGTGTTGCAACTGTCCTTCTGCACAGACTTGGAAATCCCCCACTTTTTCTGTGAACTTAATCAGGTGGTCCAACTTGCCTGTTCTGATACTTTCCCTAATGACATGGTGATGTACTTTACATCTGACTGCTGGGCAATGGCCAGCTCCCTGGCATCCTTTACTCTTATTCTAAGATAGTTTCCTCCATAAGTTCAATCTCTTCAACTCAGGGCAAGTACAAAACCCTCTCCACCTGTGTGTCTCACCTCTCTGTGGTCTCTTTATTTTATTTAATGAGCTTCTGTGTGTACTTTAATTCTGCTGTGACCATAATTCACATTCAAGTGCAATAGCCTCGGTGATGTACAGCGTGGTCACCCCATGCTGAACCCCTACATCTATAGTCTGAGGAATAAGGACATCAAGAGCACTCCAAGAAGATACCCCTGAGGAAAACGGTAATGGTGGTTTTCCAGAACTCTCCCTGCTTGCAGGACTGTCCTCCTCTGAGATAGTGACTGCAGTTTCATGGTCAGATCATGGAAGTACAACTTGTTGCTCCCAGATTTTTCTTTGAGTGTCAAGTTTCTTTAACTTTCATGACTTTATATAATTTAAACAACTCATTTTATTAAAGTTTCTGCTGTTTCTAATATTCAATGGTATTTTTTCATGTTGTCATTTTTGCTACTTTCTCAAAGTTTTTACCAATTTTTGAAAATATTTTGAGTTTCCCACTGTCCAATGGGATTATTATTTGCACTAATGTGGTATGAACTACATTAGGCAGCTGAGGTCGTTTGTATAACTTTATAGCAGGAGACAATTTGAAAGTAAATTTTTTGACACCTGCATTCCTGATTCCTTGCTCATCTCTCCTTAACCACTCTCTCTGGTAACGCAGACCTTAAAATGCGAGTATGTTTCCCAGCTGTCACGGGTATTTGTTTTCCCCATGATGGTCTTGTTTCTCTCCAGCATGGTCCTCAGTGCATCCTGTTTACCCTGCATAGTGTAGTAAGGCCAAAATTATGAATCTAATACATGTTAGAACTATAATGGACACTGAGAGTCCAATTTTAATGTGTTGGTTGACTTAGAGTCAGATATGACCAAGAATCCTGTGGATTAAAATGTTCAACCATACTTGAATTACTCTGGAAGATTTCTTTTTGGTGATGTACATACTTCTGGAGCAAATGGGCCTGGTGTATGAGAACCAGCCCCAACCTACTGGGGGGGGGCTTAAGAAAACAAGGCAGAAGGACCCAGAGAGCAGAGTACAGTTTATTGGGTCTTACTGACAGAAGCCTGGTCCTGGACCATCAGCTCAGGGCAAATACAAAGCCCTCTCCTCCTGTGCATCTCACCTCTCTGTGGTCTCCTTATTTTATTTCATGAGCTTTGGTGTGTACCTTAATTCTTCTGTGGATCCCCGCAGTTTGGGTCAGAAGGAAGAGCATATATATGTGGGTTAGGACAATTGACTTCATCTGAGCCAGAATGTACCTGGTTTACCTTAAGCTTATATCAAGTCAGGGCCATCCCTGGAGCCAGGTCCAGGTGTACAGCTGCACACACCAGGATGATGGCTTGGTCTGCTAGAATTTTCTGGAAACTCTGCAGGAAACACCACCATGGGTTACTTTGGGGCAATTGTGGTGGCTAAGACTCCAGATGGCTGCAGCTGTGCCACGCTGGGTCCATGCACACATCTAGTCACCAAAGTATGGACACTTGTTGTCCACACCATGGGGTTCCACTTGGCAGAAATACCTGGTGAATTTTCTATATTATTTCATCTAATGTTTCTGCTTAAAACTCTCCAGTACTGCAAACTAATATGATTCCCTCCATTGCCATTAACAAACTATCTCCCCCTTTAAACACTTTGCCACACTCATTAGTGTGCAAGTGAGTGACAGGAGCATCACTGTAATCAGTTTCTCTTTAATCTCCTAAATTCTCTTAAAACCTCATTGTCAAAGGATGACTCATGCAAGACATTGACTAAGAGGCCCAGTTATGGCTCTGGTGATGGAGACTTCTGCTTTGGTCCTACAGGGTACTTCTAGGGGGGAAAACCTGCTCTTGAGGGAAAGGAATGTATTGGGGAATAAGATTAATCAAATTTTGTTATGGGGGCTGGGGAGTTGGCTCAAGCGGTAATGCGCTCACCTGGCATGTGCGGGGCGCTGGGTTTGATCCTCAGCACCACATAAAAATAAAAAAAAAAGATGTTTGTCCAATGAAAACTAAAATAAATAAATAAATATTTAAAAATTCTCTCTCTCTTTCTCTTGCTTTAAAAAAATTGTTATGTGCATGTGCAGATATGGCATAAAAAACCTCTCTTTTATTTACAATTGTAATTCAATAATAAAAAAATAAATGAAAATTTTAAAATATGTTTTCAATCACTCCTAAATGCTTAATGGTAATATAAATCATATTCTTTTTTTAATACAGTAATCTGAAATGAATATGAATATCCAGGTCATTAGGAATAATGCCATAAAATATTAGAACAGATGCCAAAAATAAGAAACAACAGATTATTCTGAATGACATCTGATCTGTTTGTATCAATCACTGTATCAGTAAGCCATTGCTGCATAATGATCTATCCCCAAGGAAAATGGTTTAAGATAATGTTTTTCTTATTTCATGGGCATCTAACAGAATGTGCCTGTCATACTTCTCTTAGCATGGCATGCTCCAATGTCACTTGTGTTGTTGTAAATGAAACAATGAGAGCTGTGTGGTATTTCATTGTGTAATATATACTACATTGTATTTATTCATCTGCCAATGAATGTCAAAAGCACTGTATTAAATTGGCTTTATTTTCTTGCCATCATTTTGTTTCCTAAGCTTCTTTGCTATATTTTCTATACATAGTGCACATATATTTACACAATACCATGAGAATGTAAGGACCAACATATCAGGTGAAGTCCCTGGATATCTGTGTGGATGACGTGTGGATATCATTCTGGTGAATAGAGAAAACGAGAAAAATGTGTGTATGGTTGCTGTCTTCAGGGATAAATCTTATGAAAAAAGCCATCCTAAAAGTACACCATCATCATGGTCTGCATGGATTCTTATGGAATATGGTCAGGGGAGTTCTTTGCATTTTGAAAGAAGACTAGAGCCAGGAATGAAGCATACCCATTAGACTTGTCAAAAAATAGATCAACCCCACCCCCCACCACCATCAAAAAATGGAAAAAATGTCACATAGAGCAGTAATAAAGTCTATTTTAATGTATATACCAATGCACAATGAAGCCCACCATTCTGTATAATTACCATACATGAATAAAAAGATTATATAATAACATTTTCCAACCCCCCTCTGTCTCCTTCCCCCTTCCCTGTCAGCAAATCAGGGTCTCTATGCCACACTCTGCTTCTGTGACAGCAATGATCTACCCATCCCTGATCTACCCACCAACAGTGAGAAGCTTGCAGTGCTTAGACACAGAGCCCATGAAGACGTGCACACCTCACCTCCAGGTTGGGCTCTGGACATCCTCATTCCCACAGTGGTCAACACTGTCCACAGCTATTGGTCAAGTTTGTCACTTAAGTGTGTGTGGGTGGTAGCACCTGATTATCCAGAGACAGCTCCAAACATACATTCTCCAGGATCTGCTCCCAACCAAGACAACAGGTGTTCTTTTCGCAACACTTTATTATTAAAATTTTCACAGGTACACTGAGGTGACCGAATTGTGCCCAGAGCAGCCCCACTAACTCACCACACATCTGCAAGAAACTTTCTGATACTTTTGCTTTCTTACATGTCTTCCCCTCTACTCACTCCTCCTCCCCCACGTATCCATGCATCCACCCATCCACCCACCCATCAGCCCATCATGGGAGTTTATTCCTCCTGATGCTGCTCTGCTGGGTCTCCTCCCAGGGCCATCATGGCTAATCAGGAAATATATTTGTAACTCCTTAGCTCAGTTCCATGGTGACCCACTCATTGTCACATTCCCTGTCACTCCGTGAGAACTGGCTGCCTTACATACTCCAAACACTTTGTCATACACAGGATGTAATAAGGGTGCACAAAATATTATATTAAACAAAACAGGAATTTTCATGTATTTTCTGATGCAACACAAGAAATAACTGCAGGAAAGCATGAGGGTGGCCAAGGGAAGAAACGTGTGAGAATCAGAGAGAGCAGAATATTAATGAAGATAGAGAAGGAAACTGGGATATAAAGGGAAAGATAGGCTCTCCTCCCACCACCTGACAGAGAATCACCATTTCTGACTTTGAAGCGTTGGGCTTAGCCATCAGAATCACTTTTTCATCCTGAAAAACGCTTTCTTTCCAAAGAATAATTTTGGGCCAGATTTATGTCTTTATTCCACAGATTGTGGCTGAGGAGCCTCCCTTAGGGGGTGATGATGGTGAACCCCATCAAGGCTGCAGCACTTCAAGGCACTTCAAGGTTCTAGAACCAAGAAACCCTTTGACTTGCACAGTGAAACAGGGAGACAACTATGAGTTGAGACACAAACAGAAAGCGCATTATAATATTTCTGCTTTGTTGTATAAATTCCACTAACAAAATAAAAAAGTGTTAGAAAAAGAAAAACTATGATCAACCTGCATATACATGTTGACTGCCCTATTTGCAATAGTCAACATGAGAAATCAACCAAGGTGTCCATTGGCTGAAGAGCAGAAAAATATATGTAGTACAAGCACAAGGTCAACTATAATTCAGCCAAAAAAAAAAGAATGAAGTCCTGTCATTCAGCACAAATTTGATGGAACTGGAGCACACCATGTTAAGTGGACTCACCAGGCAAAGAAGGAAAATTACTGTCTATAGTTGCCCTCCCAAGTGTCTTCTCAGAGCACTCTTAATGTCCTTGTTCCTCAGACTGTAGATGAAGGGGTTCAGCATGGGGGTGACTACAGTGTACATCACAGAGGCTGTTGCAGTAGAGCATGAGTTTGGGGTCACAGCAGAACTGAGGTACACACCCAGGCTTGTGCCATAAAATAAGGAGACCACAGAGAGGTGAGACACACAGGTTGAGAAGGCTTTGTACTTGCCCTGAGCTGAAGAGATTGCACGGATGGAGGACACTATCTTAGAGTAAGAGTAAAGGATGCCAGTGAAGGTACAGAAAGCCAGAAGTAAAGATGAAAAATATATCACTATGTCATTAAGAAAAGTGTCAGAACAAGCACGGTGGACCACCTGGTTAAGTTCACAAAAGAAGTGGGGGATTTCCACATTTGTGCAGAAGGACAATCGCAACGCCATTAAGCTTTGTAACAGGGAATTTTGGAAACTCAAGGTCCAGCACATTAGAACCAGCAACACACAGAGCCCATGGTCCATGATGACTGTGTAGTGCAGTGGGTGACAGATGGCCACATACCGGTCATAGGCCATCACAGTCAGAAGAAAGATGTCCAGCCCTGCAAAGTGTATGAAAAAGTACATCTGGGTGATGCAGCCTGCGTAGGTGATGGCCTTGCTCTGTGTCTGGATGTTCACCAGCATCTTGGGGATGGTGGTGGAGGTGAAGCAGATGTCCACAAAGGACAGGTTGGAGAGAAAGAAGTACATGGGTGTGTGCAGGTTGGAGTCTGAGATGGTGGCCAGGATGATGAGCAGGTTCCCCAGCACAGTGACCAGGTACATGGACAGGAACAGCCCAAAGATGAGGGGCTGCAGTTCTGGGTCCTCTGAAAATCCTAGAAGAATGAATTCTGAAATCTGTGTGCTATTCCTTGATTTCATGTGGTGGCTGTGACAATTAGCAGAAGAGAGAGAGAGAGAGAGAGAGAGAGAGAGAGAGAGAGAGAGAGAGAGAGATGCATTACTATTTAATTTCTATTTTGCTCTCATTTCTATTTATAGTAAAGACATCATTTTTATATTTTATCTGAATCTGGTCTCCTTTTGAAACATCATCCTACACTTTTTTAAGAAAATTTTTCCCACATTTCTCAGCATTTCCTCGAGTTCAGTACTCTACAATTATAGTGAGAGACTCCTAATGCATTTGAAGAACAAAAGTTGAGTATTTACTATGTTCTAGGAATAATCTAGAAAATGTAGGAACCGTGCAGAAAAACAAATGTCCCTACAATCTAAAGATGGATAAAAATTAAAAGCAAACTTGCAAAATTATACAAAATGCCAGGTAAGACAGATGCTTGGAAGAAGAGGAAAGAAGGTAAGAAACAAGACAGTGGATGATAAAGATGCTTTTTTAAAAATCCGACTTCTGGCAAGACCAGCAAAGAAAGTGACAAATAAGATTTTAACAAAATCTGAAGGAAGAAAGAGCAAGTGCCACAAAGAGCAAGTCGTCAGGGAAGATTGTCTGGCAGGAGTTACAGACTGTGCAAAGGCCCTGAGGTAGCTGCCCATTTCAGATATCCAGGGCTAACAAGAACTAGGGTGGCAAGAGGAAAGACCAAGAGGGACAGGGGCGGCTCAAAGGCTGAGAGCACAACAGTGGTAACCCGAGGATGGGAAGGTGAGCAAGGAAGGGAGGACATACATCGGTTAATTGATGGGTACACAAACACAGATAGGAGAATTAAATTATAGTGTTCCACAGCACAGAAGTGGGCCTTGGGCTACCCATATTTTTTGTTTATTTCAAAGTAGTTAGAAAACAGGAGTTTGAATTTTCCTGTTGATAGTAATGATAAATGTTCAAGGACATGGGTGTGATAATTACCCCAATTTGGTCATTAAACATTTACACAGGTAGCAACGTATCACACAGTCAACCATAAATATATGCAATTAATTTTCTGTGAACTGAACATGTAAATAAATTTAAAAAGAAGGTTCTCCTTATAATTTCTTCTGTAGGATAGTTTCCTTGGAAGTATCTATCCCAAGATGTGATTATGCTTATTAAGTGAAGATCCATGTGTAGCTCTTTGGATCTCAGAGCTTAAAGCAACTTGCTGAGTTCAAAAATGTCAGACCAGTAATTGTATTAGTTACGATTGCATGAACATAGTAAAGCACTCAGAAACTCCATTTCTTTAACTGTAAATGTGATAATAATGGTACCCAATACATAAGGACCTTGTGAGAAGCAAATGAGGTGATGTGTAGGTAATTTTAACTTAATTTACAGAAGGTGGAGAGGGATGTGGACAGAGAATGCTAAACAATGTTGCATATAGATGCAACATAAATGAATCTGTGCTGAGATCCATGCACAGCTCTGATTATTGCAGCACTGTTAACAACACCCAAGATGTGGAATCTGCCAGGACATCCATCAGGGGATGAATATCGAAAAAATTCCATTGGTAGGAGGATGGATACAAAACACTTATTCAGCCTAAGAAACAATGAAATCTTGTTATTTGTAGCAACATGAATATAAATGGAGCTCATTATTATAAGTGAGATAAGCCCAGACAGTAAGACATATCCCTCCCGCTGTCATTCATGTGTGGAAGCTACAGCTCCTGAAAGAGAGTAGAATTGTGGTCGCTGAAGACAGGGAAGTTATGGAGGGAGGGAAGACAAGGCAGGGGAGACGCTAAGCTCCCACACACTGATAGGCAGGAGGAGCAGCTCTGGTGGTCTGTAGCAGGGGAGGGGAACAGTAGCCACAGAAACCTTCCAACATTTCAAAGTAACCAGAAGAGTCTGAAGTTTCTCAATATGTTGAAGTGATTAATGCTTGAGGAGAAGGAAATGTTAACTACCCAGACTGGTTCATTTCACATACAATGCATCTTCCACATTATTCTATGTACCTAATAAATATAGGAATGTTATGTGTCCATTAAAATATTTTAAAAATCGTATTTAGCATGTTGAAGAACCAAGTAGTCTTGTGCCACTGAAACATCAAGACAAATGATTCTGCCCACTCTTTGCTTTTGCACTATTAAATTTGCTACAAAATTTTTCCTTTGAATTGTAGTGCATTGTCATTTGATTTCTACGTGTCATTTTGAGTCCTGGGATCTGTATCAGGAACCCGCATTAGGAATGTGGAAACTAGTGGACATATGATGGGGTTTTGTCCTGATAAAGCCACCATAAGAGTTGTAACATCATAAGTCAAAAATGCACTAACATCCCCAACCCACCAGCATCCCAGCTGAGCAGCACGGCAGCTATGGAGTCTCAGGTGCTTACCCAGGGGATAGTCTGGCTGACCAGGAGTCCAGCTCTGTGCTACAAGAGTGCAGCATCATTAAAGGGTATTGTATTACATATCACCAGCCTGGAAAAGATCAAAATTGAAAATTCAAAGTAGTTTTTTTTATAATGCACATCATTTTTAGATGATCATAAAGTTCAAAAAATCATTATTATTTTGAGCCTCATAATTTGGAGACTGTCTGCATACTATTCTCAGGTCCACTTGCTCTGAAACCAACACACAAACTGGCACACACACATACACACAACAGCCCAACGTGTTCATATCATGCTCTTCTCACCCCAGCCACACTATCCAATAGGAATGGATACAAGGCAAGTTGTCAAATTCAGATTCACTTTCCCCTAAAGAATGAAGCAATGGTGCTCAGAAACTCCAGGTTCTCGGTCTCCCATCACAGGTAACCTTGGAGATCCATTTTTGTATGGTCATTATCTGCTCTGCATTTAAAGAAACAAGAAATATGCTCAATAAAGGGAAGGGGATGTAAAAAGGACCTGAGAGAGGAACCATCTAAGGAGGCAGGGGTCCCTAGGATGCTGCAAGGAAGGAGAAGCTGCCTTGATTCTGGTGGCATTTCCTCCCATGTTTCCCTCGGTGGCCAGCAAAACTATAAGGGATCTTTAATAAAGAAAGGGCATCTTTTCAGTGTCCAGAAATATCACATCAACATCCAAATAGACAAACTGAATATTGCAAGCCAACAACCCACGAAAGGAAGTTCACCAAGAACAACAAATGCTCTCCACACTGTCCCCGGAACAGCAGGGGAATGACCTCACTGAGGCTGCTGCTCTCTGGCCATGAGAGGAAGAGAACAGCCACGTCCTGTCAGTCCAAGGTGGAGCATTCTGAGGAACGGCAGCAGAGGAGACATATACAGCTCCTCAGACTGCTCATTAGGTGTGTTCCTCATTATGGCAACACTGGGCACACAACCAATTCCCCTGCTGGACAGTGCTCTGTACACAAGAATGTTTCTTTTTCAAGCAGATTCTCTATTCTCAAGAGACAGAATTAAAGTCAGCAGAATTCATCCTATTACTTCATCTCACGCCCTCTTCTTGCTTCCAGAGATTTAACCACATGACACCCCAAGCTGAAGTTCTCTTCTGAGTCTGACAGAAAGAACATATCTTATCCATGAGGCTTGGAATGGTTAAGTGATGTGTCCACTTGGGCCCATTGAGAGTCAGATTCTCAAGACATGAATTTTGGAAGAAGCAGAAATATTAATTTAATAACAGAATAGAATTGCCCCAGGCCAGGAACTACCTGCCTTGAACAGGTGCTCAGTAGGCATTTGGGAGGGAAAAACATGGTGGTGGGGAGGGAGTGAGCTGCCAGGGCCCTGTGCTGCCAGACCTGCAGATCTCACCTAGTCAGAATACTGCATCTCTGAGGTGTAGGAGCACCCCTATCCAGCTGCTCTCCACAGAAATCACCAGCGCTGTGACCCCATGCAGGGCTCCGGGCCTCAGCGTTCCAGGAGGTCATCCAGCATTGGAGCAGGACCTAAGCCTGGGGGAGGGCCTTAGCAGAATCACCTATGAACACATCTGCAGATGGCCAAGATGTCACTCGGCTCCCACACAAGTCACTCAGCTGCTACCTACCTACAGCCCAATGCCATCACCCAGCTCTCCCCACCTCACCAGGCTCTCTCCACCTCACCAGACACCCAGGTGCTGAAAGCAGGCCACCACCATCTTGGCTCAACATTCTCACCATATTATCTAGGGGCAGTTCCCAGATAGGATCTCTAGTGGCCAGGTACCAGATTCCCAACCTTCCCCCCATCCCCAATGGCAGTAACCCAACACAGTAGTTACACAAACAGGTGTGCAGTGAGACCAGGGAGATGCCCACAGATCAATTGAGAGTTTCCTCAATTGGAACTGCTAGGGGAGAGGGAAAGACCAGGAACTGGGAAATCTCCAGGCAAGAGAGGGAGATAGTAAAAGGCACTCATGTCATATAAGTAAGCGGTCCCAAAAAGAGACGTGTGAGGTGCAGTCTTTCTTCAGAGACTGGTGGTGCCACTCCTCACATCCAGGCACCTTGTTCCAGGACCAGTCTTCCCACCCTGGTTACCTCCACCATCCAGAGGACAGAGGCACCAGGTTACAACAGAGGATGACACTTACTGGATGAGAAGAGAATCAGGACAGATATGGATCTCTAAAGCTAGACCCTGGCTTCTTCCTTCAAGGTTTTGGTTGGTTGGTTGGTTGGTTGGTTGGTTGTTTTTATCTCTTCTACCCCTCCATCCTCCGGCCCTCATGTCCCCAATATATGTGAAACCAAGAACTTTGCATGAAATAAGACTTTGAGTATTGAGTCATCTGAATAATATAATATAGAGGTGTTGTATATGCCCCTTTTTTCTCTTCCTTTTTATTCTTTCATTTTTCTTTCTCCCCTCCAATATTTACTGTGCTAACATCTGTATTTTTCTAAATACCTATGTATGTTTATTTTATGTACTCTACTGTCATTCCATGTACTTACCTAATCCTCTTGCTACTAACCTTCTTCACTAGATTTCTCCTGCACACTTCCTAAGATATATTAACTCTATATCCTC